TAACTTGTCCATGCGTGCTCGGGCGCGACAATAATTATTAAGTATGAGTCAATTATTTCTTATCACTGCACTATACTTAGACATTGGCTGATGAACCCGGAGGGCAGATGCAGTCAGAATAACCTCTAGTTAATACTACTTATACTTACATAATATTTTCTTATATCTTCAGTTGCCCGCTCTATTTTCTCTCTGATACAGTAGGCTAGATGACAAAATTTCAATTATTTGTCCGTCAGGCAGATAATTAGAAAATATTACACTCATATTTTTTATTTTTTTTCATAATTAAGTAGGTAATAACAGTGCTACATCGAGTTGAAATGGCGCGATACGTCACGCTTGAGTAGAATTTTTACTCAAAAGTGACGTCACACGACATTTCAACTCAATATAATACTGTAATTATTCGATTATGGAAAAAAATAAAAAATATGAGTCTAATATTTTCTAATTATCTGTCTGACGGACTAAATAGAATTTCGATTTCATTACCCAGTCATCATCCCTATTCGTTGAGAGTGTGTTTATAATGTTAGTCCTCCCATTCCCTATGTCCACTAGACAACATTACATGCGATCAGAATGCATAGAGAAATTCTAATACAGCTTCAGTCTTCTGGTACTCATATTACCTACTCCTGAAAATTGTGTCCGACATTTCTGAAATTATCATTAATTACTTCATTATTCATTCAAACGTCGATTAAGCTGGGAAGTGCTTTAATATTACAGAATGCTACAAAATGATTAAGTAATAATACTATCGTACAATACTTATTACAAAGATTGTCGGTACTACACGTAGTACTACCACAGAATAATAATAAATACTACGTATACTTAAACTCGTACAAGTCATAGTTTAGATTCACATAACCACATTAGCACATGGCTCATATTTAAATAAATATTGTAGTTTGTCTGATAAGAAGTCTTATCACTGCTTGCGAAATATACTGCGCCAAAACGATACTATTTAGTTTACAAACTAAATGTACTGTTTGTACAAACCATAGGTACACGAGAGCTATAAAATCCGGGTTACCTTAAAAAGTCGTAACATTTTGATAGACAACTTGAAATATAATGTCCAGAAAGTAAGATAAGAAACAGTCTCCTAACCTATTTAATCAGACTGAACATGATAGGTATATGATTATTTCAAAGACATAGCGAGATGTCCTTTATATAGGTACCTATTTTGATGTGACCTAAATTCATTTACTCTTAACTAAAGGCTACGTGATATTTATCTAAAACTGATAAGGTTGACAAATATATCGCGGGCAATACAAATTTTATCAATCTGAACTGATTAATATCAATATGATAGTGTTCTAAGTACCCGTAAATAATTTTCTCTTGTTTCAAATATTGGACTAGCAACATGATAAAGTTCGGATATGACGCATCGTTTGCATGATTTGTCATTGTGTCGTTGAACAAACGGTCAATAGTGTGAGAATTACGAAGTCAAACTGTGAAAAGCCTTTTTTTCTACATCTATATAAATAAAAATGAATTGCTGTTCGTTAGTCTGATTAAAACTCGAGAACGGCTGGGCCGATTGAGCTGATTTTGGTTTTAAAATGTTTGTCGTAGTCCAGGGTAGGTCTAAACGGTGAGTAAATAAGGAAAAAATACGATGGCTTATTTATTGCCTTTAAGGCGGAACAGAGTTCGCCGGGTCAGCTAGTTTTAAATAAAAAAGAAAGTGTAAAAACCATAGTCGTCATCCTTGATTGTTTTATTATCTGTGGAAGCTAAACTGTTTGTCTATGGTGTATCAAAATGGCCGACTCCAGTGATGTTCAATCAGGATTTTATTTTCTTTGTTTACCATAAAAATAGATTATTCAATTTATTTACGTTTATGTGACAAAATAACTGACCGTGCGTGGAGTTAAAAATGCAGGGCCTATATTTATTTATTTATATACTATTTTTTACTTGATCAGTCATCTCAGCATCACTTGCTGCTTCCTTCAAAACAATTTTTAATGCCTAGACTTAAAAACCCTAACCAAGTCATAGATAAAATATACCCACGTCTAGTCTTACCTGAAAATAACTACCTTCGAATACATACTGGCCACTTTTAATGTTCCCCACAAGAAATGTGTAAATGAATTTAAAAATTATGTTTTAAGGCGGCCTTGATGATAAGTAAATTCTTTCATTAAAAAGTAGTAGGTATACCTACTCGTATGTCTCCTTCGTATTGAACGCCACCCGCTACTTCAGCCAAACCGCGTATTTTAATAAGTAATGATTGATTAATGGATAATTACTATTTATCTCCGCTTGTACGTTGACTTGTAATCAGCAAACACGCTAATTATCTGATTTGCGGAGTATCTTTATATTATCGAGTTCAGACCTTTAATAATTACACGATAAGCTATCAGAGTAGGATTTCCTACTACTTACATACACTACTGAATTAGTGTTACATTGATTATAATCATTAACCCAAAGGCTTTATAAATCGGGGCAATTTTCTTCAGCTAAATATTATGTACATACATTTTAAACAAAGCAACGTTATTCCTTTTTAAAACTTACCTAAGTTACATGATTAATTATTTGTATGAAGTGGCAAACTAATTTTAATCAGAGGAAAATGAATAGCATTTTTCTCTGATTAAAATTAATTTGCTACTTCGTTATTTGAAACGTCCATGAAGTCTGAATACGAATCATAAATATTACCTAGCTTTGTAGTCTCCAGGGTATTTTTGACGCCGTCCTTCACACGCGGTATAGGACACAGCAGTCGTAGAGACGAATTTAATGAAAGCTCACGCATCGAAATCTTGGACGAATTATCATCCAAGATCGAAATCTGTCAATACCACAACGATATTTTCCAAAAAATTGTTGTTAGATTTCATCATCATACTTCTATAGGTAAATAATACAGCAATTGATTGCTTACAAAGCTTTCAATCACGATTCACGCACGATACGAATTCGATTGGAAATTACTGCATTAGAGTTTGTTTGTCGTCGTAGCGTATCTTTTACCTTGCATGACAACAGGCCGTAATTTTCGTGGCTTGGTATTAGACATGAACAAGGATATTGTCCAAGTACAAATTATTACTGTCTACTAACTGTTTGCAGTACAATATTTAGGTTGGTTAACAAAATCGATGAAAGAAATTCATTGATCGCCCACATTGGTAAATATTATACCAACTTACTCGTAGATGACCGATTTCTGTTGGGTACAAAATGTTGCTTGATGGAAACTTGAAGGTTAATTAAACTCAAAGAAAGTTGTGAACATATAAACATTTAATATCTATATACAGTGTGAGTCACGTTAAAGTGTACATATGAAAATAGATGAAACTAGACCTATTTTTATCGACAAAAAAGAGGTCAAAATTTTTTTGAGATTTTTTTTTAATTTTTTATAGAATTTTTTTTCTTCCAATTACTTATTGTAAAGAAAACGTAATAACTTTTAAACTAAGCGGNTCATTCATAAAACTGAATTGATAATTGATTATGCTATATACATAATAATATGTTGTGTACTCGCACTCTACATGACTTGTGGTGAAATCTCTGAAAAAATAATGACATTTAAAATAATACCTGAAAATGAAACTATTTTCATTTGCTATTGAGCACAAAAATGTATATGATTTCTATTTACAAATGGACCCAAAAACTACTAGTTTGATTGTCACAACAACCCCGGTTACTAACTCTGATCACGTGGCTCGGGCTTTCTATTATTAAACAAATTCTCGGCCGCCGATAAAATTACGACGATCACGGTATACCCACGTGCCTGTCACGTTCAGTATCGGTGCTGACTCGGAAATAAATTTTATTCAATCCCTTTTTCTTCCTAAAGACATAAAGGTCTCAATAAAGTACCTCAATTTCCTCCTCAATTGGTTGGATACTTGGCAAGATCATTTTGTTACTTAGTTGAACATAAACACATCATAATGGTACATCTAATCTTCTTTTAATAGCAGCACGTTTAATATTGGGGTTGGTGATCTTTCCATATTGATTTCATATCATTACGCCATGGCACCAAGCACCAATATTTACGATGGAAAAAGGAAATAAATACGTAGGTAACTAAAACTCAATACCAATTTATCAACATCAAGCCATCACGATCGTAATATTCCACCATGAGTATCATAAAACACGATGTTTTATTTGGCAATGTTTCAAAGCATCAATGTCCAGCGGGGTCATAATGACGATGCTACATAGAGTCACATATTTGCTCGTATAAAAGTTCAGCTTTAGATAAGTTGCTGGAACATCATTAAGTGCGTTTCACGTGTCACAAATAAGTGCCTACTTAATAGAATAGTAAGGGAAGCGCCTTTGATGTCATCAGGTTCCGTCGCCGGCGAAGCTTTTGTTCAACGAGTGTGTTCTCGAGTTCGTATCGATACTCCCGACACCTGTACCTCTAGTACGAAAAACTTTCGAGTTCGTTTCGTTGCGTATTCAAAGTGTCATCGAAAAATTTTGTATGAAAAATTAAACAGCGCCCCCTAGGGCGGCTATAATATAGGGGGCGCTGTTTAATTTTTCATACAAAATTTTTCGATGACACTTTGAATACGCAACGAAACGAACTCGAAAGTTTTTCCTACTAGAGGTACTGTACGCCACGCCACCGTCACTCTAACCTACTTCGTTACATAATGCCACATTACACCCGATAACGGCTCGTGATCAATGCCTGGGATTTGCTTACGCCTCGCATGATTAATTTTTAATCTGGATCAGCCGTCCTTTGTTACAAACACATGTTTCAAATGTTCGAAAATTATTCAGCTAAACGTGTAGGTTCTGTTTAATTTTGCAATAATAATAAACGTTTGCACATGCGAGTCGTCGATAGTAAACTCGTTTAATCATGCATATTATACCTCTGTTTAGATATAACAACATATGCTAATTGTAATGTACAAGCCATCATTTTGACAAGTGTCTGTTTTCCATTCCAGCCGATGGCCTGACCTATTCGTTCGGAATATTCTATGCGGAGTTCCTGACCTACTTCGAGGAGGGAAAAGGCAAGACCGCTTTAATCGTCTCCATCCTCGTGGGGGTCACCCTTAGCGCAGGTAATTACTTTAATATGCAAATCGTATTATTCTCCTTAAAGAAATAAGCATGCATTCCAGTATTTCCAACAGTCGTTTCAAAAATTAGGTACTAAAATAAGCTAACAGCATTTCGCTGAAATAAACACCAGGAGAGGAATTACAAAGTCTATATAAGTAAATTGTTCACTTATGGAAATAGGCGTTCTCTTACAATATTGTGAGTATCGTGATCAATTAAGATTATGATAATACGATCCTCCAAAAAGTACAACCAAGTCACTGAAAATTCGAAAGTATTTTCCTGTACCAGTGTTTTTCTTTTCGACCTCGCGGGTTGTTTTTCCCATTAAAATAAATTTATCATCGTGTCCGCCCACTGATCGGTAAACAAGTCTTTATTCCCTTTCTGACCTATAAACAAATTATTCCATTAAACCATAGACGATGTGAGAAAAAGCGGTTCTGCATTGAATAAAGTTTCATTCGTATTTTTCAAAAGTACAGAGTTTGAAAAGTAAATAAGCTAAACAATAATTTTAAACTCTGTTTATTAGGATACGTAGGTACACTGTTGTGAATCGAGACTAAGTTTCAGACTCTCAAAGCATTGTTATTTTACTTTCCCTGTTCTTTCTTCTTTGTTGACTTATTAGATTTATGTAAAGCAAGCATAACAAAACTTTGCAAAGTTGCATATTTCTTCGCGGCTTGACCCAGTTATTCATTGAGTAATATGGAAACTAACTTTTTTTTTTTCATTTATTATCTTTTACAAAGGAAGTTCTTAAACATATTACAATTAAATGCATTGGCATAAACCACTGAGGTTTGTTTGCAATGCTAGATGCGGTCAGTCTATTAAATTAGTAATCAAACAGTTGCGTTCTACAAAGAAACTAAAAAAACTTAATAAAAGTTACAATTTTCATAGATAGGCATCCCTGTCGAGCCGATTTACCAAGAGGTTACTATATAATGTATTCGTATAAGTCGTACCCATACTAGGCAAATGCATTTCCGCTATGAAATATGTTCGAGAAAAAACGACCTTAGCTTGGACTTAATGTTATTTTCATAACTGTAATGTGTATGACTTTTATTTCAGGTCCAATATCCAGCTCTTTCGTGAACCGATGGGGCTGCCAGCGCGTCACCGTCGCCGGCGCCCTATTGGCGTCAGCTTGCGTGATGGTCTCAGCGTTCGCCACCAACGTAGTCACCCTCATCGTCACCATCGGCATCGGCGCCGGCTTCGGCTTCGGTCTCATCTACCTTCCGGCCATCGTGTCCGTGACCGTCTGGTTTGAGCGCTACAGGAGCCTTGCTACGGGTAGGTACGGATTTCGTTGCAGTGTAGTGGTGCTCTTACTGTTATTTAATTATTTTTTTCTGTAAAAAAGCTGAACATTTGTTTAGTAAATGTAATCCAAGAGTTGGTATTTAAGTTACTCACATCCATTGTTTAACTTTACAGGCATTGCAGTATGTGGATCAGGACTTGGAACATTCCTGTTCGCGCCAATCACATCCATGCTCGTCGCAGAGTACGGCTGGCGAGGAGCCATGGCCATCATCGGAGCATTTGTCCTAAACTGCGTGCCCCTCGGCCTCATGTTCAAGCCGGTACCTGAACCACGAAGAACGCCAGCATCGGAACCCATGCTGCCCAAATCACCCAATACCCCACTGAAACGATCTCAAAGTACAGAACACGTTATTCGTGCCAATGGAAAATACGACGAAAGCGACATAGCAAGACTGACCCTTTCACAACCTGCACTTAACAATCCTCAGGAGCAAAAGCATCAGCCACCCTCTCGCCACGGCAGCGGCATTATGCAGAGGCCGGACGTCTTATATCAGGGGAGCATGACGAGCTTAGCGAAATTCCGAGCGCCCTCGCCCGACAGAATTCAAATTCCTAAAGAGGAGAGAGAAGCGAGGTGCGGCTGGCTGCCCTGCTCCGCGGAATCGAAGGCCGCCTTATCAGAAATGCTCGACTTATCGCTTCTAGTTGACCCCGTTTTTATACTTTTTTCAATATCCAACTTTTTAACTAGCATAGGCTTTTACATTCCTTACGTATACATAGTGCCTATGAGTGAAAAAATGGGAGTGGAGAACTCGGCCTACTTGATCTCTATAATTGGTGGGGCGAACTTGGTGGGAAGAATCATCCTCGGCTTCATTAGCGACAAGCCGTGGGTGAATCGTTTGCTGGCATACAATTTGTGCCTTACGATGGCAGGCATAAGTGAGTATATTGCATTCCAATATATTAACTGTATTTGACCTCAATTTACAATTGTTAGTAAATCGGTCAGTATAAATATAATCGTAAACAATCAATATCACAGATAAAAGTTGGTAGCACAATTACACGAAATATGCGCAATTAATTTTCATAAATCAGTTGATATCTTTCAAGATTGTTAGCTATCTAATCGAACTTATCGAAAATAATTATTTTTAACAACCATAGATATCTAACCAAAGCTTTGCACTGAAAAAGTCAATCCTTATCTTTGAACTCCTACTTTTATCTCCTGATTAATGTCACGGGTCCAATGACGTTTTAACTTTCCATTAGAACCAATATTGCCTTCATTGGTTAGGTTTTGGGGTTTACAGACGAAAGACGAAAAGTGGGGAATACCTAGTCCGGTATAAAAAAATACGTATTTATGTTACAGGCACAGCAATGGCGATGGCGTGCTGGGAGTTCTGGGGCCTGGCCATATACGCGACCACCTTCGGCTTCACCATCGGGGCGTACGTGGGACTGACGTCGGTGGTCCTGGTAGACTTACTGGGGCTGGAGCGGCTGACCAACGCGTTCGGCCTGCTACTGCTCTTCCAGGGCATAGCCTCGCTCATTGGGCCGCCTTTTGCAGGTAACCAAAATATTGAATTTCTACTTTATTTGTCCCTCAACATAAGACTAAAGTTTTCACCATTAAACCCTAATTTGTAAGTGACCCCTATGTAAACAAAATTCCTGTTATTTGTTTACAAATTGTTACCTTAAGGGTCACTTAAAAATTAGGGATTGATGGTGAAAACAGGCATAACCCCCTTATTAATAAAAAGTTACGCCTAGGATGAACCCTGGATTAAAACTTTCCATACTAAATGACAATTTAAGCCAGAGCTCAACTAGGGTGTAACTTTTATTATTGTGGGGTATGACTCTACCTATCTGATGAACTAGCGCCATCCCAAAACTACACTGCAAGTGGTATTAAAACGTATCTGAATTATGAACTAGTCAACCTCTCCAGGTTCTTGAAATGTTCAATGTGTGATTTGCTTCGGAATATAGCTAACAGATGGAGTTCATACTTTCAGGAGAAACTAGCGCCATCTAACGTGACTATATAGCTTTAAGTGAAAATTAAAGAGCCAAAGCGCGGCCTCTCGTGTCTCGTAAAGAAAACACTGAACATGAGGTTATGGTTTAATTTTCCATTTTCCTAAGCTAACAAAAAAATCCCATCAAAAATAATACTTGTCAAAAAAACCAAGTCTTGCAACTCAGTTGTTCTACGGTAAAAAGTTGTGAGATCCATGTAATACCAAGTCCAGGCCAGGAAATCTTTAACGTTTTACATAAATTATTGACTTGGCCATCGCACTGAATAATTTAATTTACACGTGTTTTCATGCGATGGCCAAGTCAATATATTTATGTAAAAGGTTAAAGATTTCCTGGCCTGGACTTGGTATTACATGGATCTCACAACTTTTTACCGTAGAACAACTGAGTTGCGAGACTTGGTTTTTTTGACAAGTATTNNNNTCCATTTTTAACTTTTCGGAAAAGTTCAAAGCTGAATTTAAAAAAAACTAGATGATATTTGCCAGTAAATTTAGATTTGATGCAACCCTATATCAATGCACGTCAAAACTAAATATTTACTTTGAGGCTACGCTTAGTAGTTTTTTTTTAAATCGAAATTAAATGATGCGATTTGGGTATTTTGGTGAAATTACTAAAAAACTTAATTATAAAAGTAGCCGCCTGACATGGAACGTGTTATGGGGGCTGAAAATATAGGAAATGACCCATTCTATCCGCCAAATCATTTTGGCACACGATGCGCCAAACACCCTGTATACCTACTCACGGCTTGACGTGTCTTTCTATTTTAGTTGAAATAGAACGCGAAAGTTTAAAACTTATCCTATTATTTAAAAACCTAACGGCCGAATACTGAAACACTACTCNGTAACTTTGACCCGTTATAATTCTTAAACTGCTGGTTCAAATTGAATGAAATTTTAAATATACCGTGTCTTTACAATGCCTGCATAGCTAATGAAAATTCAGCCTTCTAATTTTATCCACAACGAAGTTACAGGCGGTCGAAAATGGCCTGAATTGCTTCGAGAAAAGGATGGTACGGCCGTGCCGCTTTTTTGCTCGACTTGGTGGGGGCACTCCCGTGCCCCCAGATTTATTAGTCGTTTTGAACACAGGCACTCCTTGTACAAAGAAAAAGCCGAGTTGTTATTTGTCTATTATGACGATTTATAAATAGTTTATTTTACGATTATTGAGTTCAATAACAATTAACTAAATATTTCAGGCTGGCTCTACGACGCGGTGGAATCCTACGCGCCCGCGTTCTATGTAGCAGGAGGGACCATCTCCCTCAGCGGGATCATCCTGTTCCTCATCCCGCTAGTGGAGCGGCGCAGCAACAGGAACCGCTTCGACGAGGCCGTGCTGGAGCAGATATAGCAGGACCGCCGGGGCACGTGCCCCGTCATCGTGCTCAACAGCCCCTCCACCCCCTCCGCCCCGTCCTCCCCGGACTCCTCTAACAGGGTACACAACACTAACATAACACACGAACATAACTTTTATACCAATTGTGATGAAGAGTGTGAATGCGCATTTGATGCCGATCAAACTCATTCCAGAGCGTGCGGAAGTGAATGTCAGTGTAGTGATAATTTTAATGGTGCAATACGTATAGATTCTTTTTAAGGTAAAGTGCCGATGGTTCTACGTTACCCAAAGAACTGCAACCAATTTCTAAATGTATAAGATTATAATGTAAGCTATTAGAATATACTTTATTTGTAAACTATAAATATTCTGTAAATTATGTATAATATCTTATCTTAGTGAGTCACACTTGAGAAACGTGGAGTTTAATGATAGACGAATCAATGCGTTTATTTCAGTTTATTTATTCATAAAATTGAGAGACATTAATTGATTAAATATTGACACCAAGTTCCATTAATATACTTAAAATTATTTCGTTATGGATCTTCCAGAAGGGTTTTAAGTTACACAATTAGATTTAAAAAATCATTTTATTAAGATTAAAAGAGATAACCTTACGATACATGTTACATGGGTAAGAAATCGTGGTAATATGTTAGATCTTACTTAGGGAAAGTATGGACTTATTCTATGACGGCCTTATTGTGGACCAATCGTGGGTAGAATGGGTAAGGTCCCGGAACCAATCAGATGCATAATCTGCTACTTGTGATCGTATACAGTAACGGCCAGTGCACGGTCAGTCTCGATCCATCGACAGAAGAGGCCCGAGGTATCAGACGGTAATCGTCTATTTTTATATACTTAGTGAGTCATGTATTGGCTATGTGACCTAGATACGAGACTGACTGAAGCTGGGTCGCCTAATAATTTAGAACATCGATTCTTTCTAGTAACGACAGGTACATTTACTTGTATATTTGCGCTATTGCATCGTGTTCAGTAGCGTCGGCAAATAATTTCTTCTTATTCTCTTTTTGTAATCTATAACTTCGACTGAATTAGATAATTGTGTATATTTGTGACGACTAAACTGCGAGTCGTCGATATCCTTCGTACAAATCTATGTCTCTATATTATATTATTGTTGATCTTGTGCATCTAATGCGCTACTTGTACATTGATGTTATGCATATACCTAACATTAATTGAAATATATCGGAATTGATAACATGTCAAACCGTATTTTATTTTGATTTAAAATCAGAACCTTTTGAAAAAATATAACCAACTTTATGAAATGGACGTATACCCTCGATTGGATTCAACAAGTAAGCTATTTTTAACCTGACGTGCGGTTTTAGAACCGTTTCAGTTACGCCAAAAAACTTAGTTTACTCGTACCTACCTATGTTTGCTTACTTACTATTACTTATTGAATAATCACATTGAGATTGAGTTCAAAAAACAACACTTACTTACAACTATTACTGTGAGCAGTTACAGTACAAATACAGGGACGTATTCTACTTTTTTGTTTCAAACTCGAACCAATAAAATGAGGAAGCTTTGAAATATCTAAAATAAATTAACAAGGTAAAATGTACAGTATAGGGATATAAAAAATATTAATGTGGGTTAATTCGTATAAGGTTTTAAAAATAATTGATATGATAAATTTAAAAGTACCTACCTACATAGTATCAAAAAGTAGAATTACCCTGTACTATATTATTAGGAGATCAGAGATATGGTAAATCCACCTCCTTTCTCGTGTTAGTGCGTGGTAGGNGGGGTGGGGATTTATTTAGTTGCGCCTGAGGCGGCCCTGGCGGCGGAGATCTTCTTCATCAGGGCGATCCCAGAACAAATTCATCACTTTGGCTGCAAGGGGCGAGTCTTTCAGAGCGAAGGCGCCAATTCCAAGCACGGGAGCCACCTTAAAGGTAACAATTTTTAAACAATTATGAAATAAATTAATAAAAAGACATCATGATTTCGAAGTCCAAAATACAACTAATATTCCTGTTTAACTCTCCGATATATGCTTGTGTTACGAGTAGTAGTGGAGGAGTTTAGCTTCTAGCGGACAACGAGTAGGTACCGAATTACCAATTCTCGACTCGCAGTCCGACATTGACGCCTTTAGGCTATTATCGCATCAAATGTTAATGCCCGCCTTCCACTGTGAACGGAAGCACTTCTATGAAGATTGCTGTTGCGAGTTAATCGGAGTCCGTACGGAGCCCGCTCCGCTCGCAGTGGAAGGCGGGCATTAAGCTTAGTTACTTATAGGAAATGGAAGCTCACGCATTTAACAACTGCGCCAATTTTATTCCAATTTTATCATCTGACATTAGGTATAATACATACGTAGTTCATCACCAAGGCCGTCTTAACAAGGTACGGGGTGAAGAAGAAGGCCATCGAGTCGAACATGATCTGATTGTGTATCACTCCATAGCGTATGGAAATGAGCGGCACCCAGAATCCGAAGCTAACCATCGCCATTACCATGACGGCCTGGAAAAATACATATTATATGAGTTCAGACACATTTTGTAGGTCATGTATGAAACAAAGGCCGACAATCAATCAAACCAGAATCAATCAAACCCAGAGTTGAATAGAAATAATGATAAGATTATTTCGTCATTAGGTCACTTACATCTGTAAATGTAGCCTGGTATTCGTCGTATTTTTTCAGTTTGTACGCTTCCAAATACTTAGTGTACATTATAGAGCCAAACCTAAAACAGATGGTTGTAGTTATGAAAACGAATTAATTTTGCAATCACAAATTTCGAGGTTTACTTACATAACAAGAAACGGTTTGAAGTACATCAGAGCAAAAAGCGCAATAAAAATGTTTGCGAGTATTCCGTTTTCTGGAAGTTTCAGATCCATTGTGCAGTGCTTGCAATCAAAGTCTTTTCCATAGCCTACGCCGATGCCAATCATTGGCAATATTGAGTAAAGGCATGCCAGCCCAAAGGAGATGCTGAAAAATAGGGTATTATGCCAGTCGGGGATGGGCCATCCTGAAAATGACAACAAAATGTTAATAAAAAGCGTGTTTTTTTTTATAAACCATAAACCTGACTGTGTCGATTTTATATTTTTTATGTAACATCCCTATTATGAGATCCAAATAGTCATTACCTTGCTGGGTGTAGTAAGCGTTGATGAATCTTTCAATGCAGAGGTGGGTCAGAGACTCAATCTCGAAGACGGAAAGAAATGTATCAATAAAACCGAGTAATTTGCACAGCGAAATAAATTGGTTCATAAATCTGAAATTACGAAATTGACAATTAACTACTTATTCAGTTAAGAACACACTAAAGTATATTTTTTTAACAAAAAATGTAACTTCACTTTTCCAAATTAATTTATTTTTAAAACGCATGAGTAAAGTAAAATATTTTGGTTTAAATTGCAACCTATTCATTATTAGAAGAAGATTGGAGTAATCAAGCTTAAGTGTAGCTGTACTAACTGTAGCTAGTCTCAAATGAAACATAAAAAATAGTAAACATACTCAAACAAGTAGCCAATGGTTAAGGTGTTCGCCACTGTGTAGGTCGACCGGCGGAATGTAACCGCCGTGAAGAGCGGCAGCAAATTCTGGTAGCGGCTCAGCCCAGACAGCTTGTCCGATCGCAGGATGCAGAAAGTCACTATCATTCCAATAGCAAATGCCAGCACGCCTAAAATAACAAATTCCAACTATACAGGTATTCCAATTATAACTACCTATAAGTGATCTCACTTGATTATTTCTAAACTGTACAAGATACCAAAAAAACTAGTTACTGATCCTGTATAATGGGTCGTGGTAAATAACAACAACTTAAATCATATCAGATCTTAAACAATTCATTTTACACCCCCTAGGTTTTTAGGAGAAATTGCTTCCTGGCTATAAGCCCGCCGAAATTGTGCCGTTTCAGTTTTGTTAACTGAAATGAAAGAGATGCTATCTAAGTAATCTATCTTTCTTTGCACAAAAAATATTTACTTGTGAATGAATAAAAGTTGAAGTTAGTGAAAATCCTTTGCAATGTTTTCAGCAACGTGTCATACGCGAATCATACTACGAGTAAATAGTTAACAAAGTTATTAGGACTCATTCGCGTGGCAGATACTTTATCTCAAATGGACTCTTTGTTGTGACCGTTTGGTACATTATGACACCGATACAAAAAAAGTATATTATTTTCTATGATCATGTAAAATCGCAAAAATAAAGAACAGTGCCTAGATTGAACTTTACGAACGAAAAGTTAAGGTCTTTTCAAGATAACAATAAAAAAAAATCATTAACTTGTTACGATAACGCTTAATATTATTAAAATAAAGATAAAAAAAGCATTAAACAGTATTGAAAATCCAAAAAAATTACCAATATCGAAGTAAGCGTTCCTCAAGCTGTTGATTTCTGATTCCTTAAAGAGGTCTTGCGGATAGCGGCAGACCCTGTTTTCGTCGCAATCCTCGTATATGGGGCTGTAGAGCCGGTAGGTGTGGATGGACATTTTGACGGCGGGGCGGCTTCCCTGTCTGGAGGCTTCAGATGGGAATGAGCCAGACTCCCGGGAGACGCTGCGATGCGCTTGCGTGCAGCGGCGACAGGGCCGGGGGTGGCGATGCAGCGGCCGCGGGATGTACCTGTTGCGCCGGACGCGCCGGTCGCGATATGCTCCGCTCGGCTTATTGTTCTTCAAACTTGATGTAACGTAGAACGCTCTTGAGTTTGCGAACTACTTACGAGTATAAGCGCTAAGCCTTAGAGGAGAAGTTGGAAGAAACTCGATTATCTGAAACGATTGTATAAGTTTATTTAGGAATAACAATCGAGGTATAGTTAGGTTTCTTTAGGATGAGACTTCATGAAAACAACTGTCTTAGTTTACTTAATGACTACAATTAACTTAATTGCTCATTTAAGATTTGCAGTATCAAAAAATAAGAATTGTAAAATCTTAATTAGGTATCTACGTTGTTAAGGTTTATTTAGAGAGAGAACTTTCCAAAAATTGATTTTGGTTAGAAACTTACATTAAAAACAATTTCAATGCGACAATTTCATAGGTTAGAAAACTGTAGTTACTTACCTACATGTAGAGATTAGAGAACAGAAAACCCCAGCTCTATGAACAAACGACGCACCAATGAAAAATCGATAGTAAATTGATAGGTATGTCTTTTCATAACCTATTGCTCCAAGAATTTTCTTGACGCACTTAATAATGATAAAATCAGCGGAGATGTTTTGTTTAACACTTGTAGTGATATTCCATTGTAATATATTAACATTTGATCATCACAGCACACGTCTATCACCCATCAAATGCCAAAAATAATCATATTTAATGCAAAGCAATAAATTATTCTCTGAGCGTATCGCTACATCACTAATCACGGCAGATGGGTGGCGCGGGCGGGAACAACCCCTCGCTATTCGTCAATAAATATAGGTCCAGCCCCATCACCTAGGTTACATCCGATCAATAAACTCGTCTGCACTGCGTATGTCTGCACCCGGTCACCGCTCCGGCCCGGGGATCGGAAGCTGGAACTCACCTGTGTTGTAACAAAGGGTTTTAATAACCCACGTATTTGAAACAAATTAATGTTCTTTTTAGAAAGATGTATAGAACCGTATAGCTTATGAGGAAGTAAAGGCTCTTCCGACGATTTAGTCGGTCTTTGTAAACATTTTTTCAATTGAACAAAAATGTATTAAGGCATAATAATGAAGATAATGAGAGAGATCACCTTCTCCGATTGTTTGCTCGAGTACGTACTGCATTTCATAAAGATCTTAGGAAAGTATTGCGTACAAATTAAATAGATAAGCTAAATTCAAAAGCGTATCAAATAAAACTGTGTTTAATACAAAACGTCATAATATTTTATTACTTAGATTTACTTAAGAAATTATAATTTACATTATGTTTAAATTATTTATAGGCCTGACGATCAGTCTTTGCTACCGAAACTTGCATCTTCTATGATTTGGGAATTCGTTAATTTTTCAATAACAGCACTGAAACCGTTACATTCCATATGTATAGTAATCGTTGTTCTGTTGCTTGAGGAGGTATTCCCTGTTGAACTGCTTGGCCTTGTCGGGGTGTAGGAGCGCGTAGTGCCGCCGCATGCGACCTAGCAGGGCGGCACGTAATCTTTCGTCTGAAGCCAGGTAGCAGAGGACTGGAATGCTAGTTGCTGCCTGAAACAAAACATGATAGGTAAGCGAAGTATCTTCATCTCTACAAGAGGTATACATATACATTACCTAGCCTACAATAACGCTTCGTCTGTCAAAGAGTTTTATGTGCTGATTTTTTAATGCACAAAATCACAGAGTGATTCGATAGGAAGGTTTAAAAGTAGGTAGCTATTTAGATTAGATTTTCGGAATATTATTAATCTTTTTACTTCAGTTCTAATCTGTAGAAGATAACAAGTGTGGACTGAATATCACTGGCGGCACAGGTGGCAAGTAACTAACTATACCTAAGGTAGAGCAGCTATTGCCAGGTGTGGCACCAGGACCTACAGGTTTTCCCTACCGCCAAGGCAACCTGCCTCAACAATTTCAACTAACCTCAAGAGCAATGGACGCGATGAGAGCTAGTGCCGCTGGCACGTGCGGCCGGTAGCCATACGCCAGCAGCGGCAACCATTTTCAGCCGCTCAGCACTGCTGCCGGCACCCACAGTGCCAGGGTCACCACTGTCAAGGCACGTGCACTCTACAATGTCAACTAACCTCAGCTGCAATGGGCGCGATGAGAGCTAGTGCCGCTGGCACATGCGGCCGGTAGCCATACGCCAGCAGCGGCAGCCATTGCCAGCCGCTCAGCACTGCTGCTGGAACCCACAGCGCCAGGGTCGCCACTGTCAAGGCGTGTGCACTCTACAATGATAAAAGACCGGTAATTTATTTGATATTCATAAATAAGTAGAGCTATCTATGAAATTCCTGGGACATAATGCACACACATTTTTACGACTGCAAAAATGTATTTTAATAAAAAGTAAATAAGGCTTCCTATTCAGCTCCAAGTTATTCAAAATATTACGACAAGAGCCTCTACTACCTAAAAGTCCCTTTCATGTCACCTCTCCCCTAACATACCTTTGTAAGGCGCTTTTGTTCTCTTTGTTGTTCACTTCTGTAATATATCCTTTCCAAACGTATTGCTTTCCCCATGAAATAAAAACTGAAACAAAAATACATTACATAAATAAAGTACTATGTAGACCATTCACTTGTATTTCAAGATTCCAATTAATAAATAAGATGCTTACATGGCTATCACGGGTACCACCCCGCACAGTATGACATAAGGTATACTGTATCCGATTTGCCTAGTGCCAGCCTGTAGCGACGGCCACAGAAAGGTGCACGAGGTGCCCGTGGTGTCGCAGGAGTACACTCCATATCCGAACAGCGGCGGCGTCGCGAAGATCACGGAGCTCAACCAGCATACGCCCACCAGCGTCCAGTACCATCGGAAGTAAAGTGACTTTTCTGGAAAATTCCATCCAATCAGCATTTTTAAACGCAAACCTGTTTAGAAATCTGGTGATGATCCAATTTAATTTACTCAACAGTATAAAATCACATATCAACAAAATAAATCAATACAGACTTATTTCTCAGTCGGCTTTGTGCCAAAATATTTAATTAACTATTAGATTGAAACGTCAATCAAATTAAAATACTTTTAAACAACTCACCACGTCGGTAAAATCTGGCTTGTAAATATCTCTCCAGAACAATGGAGAACAAGGCGGCCATTTGAAAGACACCAAAAAACTGATTCAAGAACGCGAAAAGTTGACAGCATGATGGGCCGAACAGCCACCTGAGTGCAGATTAGTAGTTTTAATAACATAAATTAAATCAAATAGTTCCTGATATATATCAGTCATGTTACTGACCTAGTTACTTATTAATAGGTACAACCAAACTAAATGGTTAATATTGCAACATTAATATCTACTAAAACAATTGCCAACTAACCAATTCAAAGTCTAAAAATTATACCATTGAGCATTAATCAAAACTCACCTTTTCGCTATCGCTGACGATCCCGAAAAAGGAAAACCAAGTAGATTTCTGCCAAGTGATGCCGAGCATAGATTAAGTACCAGAATATGACTCTTGAATATTAACAGGTGGCTGTGGATGAACGTGGCAAAAAGCCAACCGTTTAGCAGCACCCCGAATACACCTGTCAAAATATCTTCATCAAAACTGTGCAGACTGTACACCGTCGTATTACTTCCGCCATCGCGTAAATTTAGCAGCGAAGGTATTTAGTGCGTTCGGATTCGGTAGATCACTTACCAAAGAGTATGAGACAGGCGCCCAGCAGCGTTTTGTAGGAACTATCAAAATAATACCAAGGACACTCATCTTCTTGATAATCGAACAGCGTTTGCATTCTCGAGCCTTACGTTTAGCGAACCTCAGGCACCGAAGGCAGGGCTCCCGCGGTATTGGAGTTGTTTATTGCGCATTTAGCTAAATTTTCACCGGGAGTCAAGGAACGTCCACTTGGGGCAAGTGGTCACAGAGACTGGTCAGGTTGTCGAACCAGCGAGAGGGACAATGGAGAGGATCGCGTTTCAGGAGCAGAGCCACTTTGTACGGCGCATCGAGGGCGTGAACGTTGTGCTACGGTAAGCAACGAGCGTCGAGCAAACAGCGAGTGGTTAGTAAATTCGTAGGCGCCAGTAGAAACATTCGCTTTGCAGTCAGTTGTATACGTATTTGAAGGTTTATGAATGAAAAGAAGAGGAATGGGTCGAACTTTTACTAAATCTTGTTAATTAAGTACCTATTTATTTCGTGCTCTTGTATTTACTTCGTCTTCATAATATTCGTAACATAAACAGATAAATTACAATAAAGGTACCTATACTAGGTAAAAATTCTATAAGGATTTTCAGGATTATCAGAAAATACAAATATTCCTGTAAGAGCCCTGAAAATCCTAATAGAGTCAATTGCTAGTAAAAGGAATGGCTGTTAGAGCCACAGCCACTGCTAAATAGGTACGTTAACGTACATGTTAATTCTTATAATTGGGAGTAATTCATTTTTTTTTTTTTTTAATCCACAACGAGGAAGCTCTTGGCCTGTATCTCACCTGATGAATGAATTCATGAACATTCATGAATTAACGTGTTCCTATCCACGGAATATTTCAGCTTCCTTTCAGTAATCATGATGGTACAAAATTAAATATTTAGGTGCAATTGGTGAAATATGTACAATATCAAAACAAAACACCTAGCCATCGAAGGCAAGATTTCTATGCTTTGGTCTATATATATAACTACACAAAACGTTTTCTTAGCTCATTTAAATAAGCTTCCTATTTTAGGCAACTTTATTAATTAACCCAACAAACGATGATTCACCTAGAGGTATGAAAAGTAGTTAACTGGCTATTTTCAGAATATAGACACAAAATTTTAAGGTTAAGCCTTTTTGGAAGAATTTTTTTACAAATACGTGAATTTATGTATACAGAGAAGATTAGCTTTTAGCTCTTAGTTTAGTACAAAAAAAATATTTATCGGTTTTAAATCACAATAATCATAAAACAGCAAGAAACTAGCACGTGCACAACGATACGCATCATAGGTAACCTATTCATTTCTAAATTCGTCGATACTTTGTCACTCGCCCAAAAGTCAATGCTGCACATTTCTATTTAGGGATGTTCTCATTTCACACGTTTCACACTTATTTCACGCGTAAAAACGTTAACATTTATTATGGCGAACTTGTGTTAGGCTTATAATTAATTTATCTATCATATGTAGGTAATAAAAATATACTTACCAACGTTGAACTTTTTGTGTATAATTTATTCAAAATTTCCCTGTAGAAACGCTATTTTTTGTGCTGAAACAGTTCATAACACTTGCTATAATGTAAAACTCTACCAAATGACTTTTGAGGATGTCAACTGCATACATGTAATACAGGAAATCTAAGAAATCATCGTCATTCTGTAACATGATCGGGTATTGTTGTTTACTGTACACATTGTGCCTAATGAGGTGTTACATTGACTCATGGACACTCAGGACACTTATTAATGTGTCCATACCTAAGGCTCGCCCGTAGTAACAGTGTTCAAGAAATTTTGCGTTTGTAGTAGACATAAATTGGTTAATTTATGACCAAAATAATTAGCTCGAGAAGTCTCTCTGATATTTTTGTAAATTTGAACTGAGTACTGAGCTGCGACTATAGATTCATTTACTTCACACACGTTTAAAAATAACCATCTCCGGCTTATATAACGTGGAATTTGTGATTTTTCCCAGATGTCACAGCTTCGTCTTTCACACTATTTACACGGCGGCCGTAGCTCAGGTAACAGCTCAATTTGCGCTATCTGATGTAAACACGTTCAATATATTGTTTCGAGCGTAAATCACCTGATAAATACAACACTGGCTTGGCAACGCCCGCAAAGAATACGCCGGGTACGCTCCACACTTACCTCATACGGCCGGTGCACGTCAATCGGGCTCAGCTAATTGGGGAAAAGATCGCGTGTGATTTTGGTTAAACAGAAAATACATCCTTACCTACCCGGCTTATGTTATCAAACTCGTTGATTTGTAAATTCGTATTGGAGCGCAGTGCAGTGCCGTCATCGGTCGAGTCACGGCAGGATGTTGTCGTTGGAGCAATTGTCACAAATGGTAAAGGTACACCTCGGACTCTACAGCGACGCGGACGGAGTTCAGCACTTTAGTAAGTGGATCATCGGAGAATCTTCACTCGGCGGTCGCGGATTGTTTGCCACCCAAGATATTTCATCGGGAGAAGTGCTGTTCGTGGATCACCCGATCATACGAGGACCACGCTCCGGAACCACAGTGAGCAGAGGTTGTACTGTCTGCTGTAGTATTGAAAGTGACACGTTTTTCAAATGCTCTAAATGTTCCCTGCTATTATGTTCAGAAGAGTGTCAAGAAACTACAACACACGACGAGGACTGTACGACTATCTGTCGGTGGCAAAATAAAATTCCGATTGATGAAATTGATGATGCCATACTATCAAGAGCTTTGGCGCCTATAAGGGCATTACGATTGAGTGAGGACCAAAAATTACTCATGGCTGCACTTCAAGTACATTCGCTTCCACGCCACGGAGCTGAAGTCAGAGAATTGAAAGAGTGTTTCGACATTCCAGAGGATGACGAAGATTTAATGACCCTCGCGTGTTGTGCTCTAGATACAAATGCATTTCAAATCGCAACTCCGTATGGCAAGAAGGAAATGAGCTTGCGTGGACTGTATCCAGTTTCTGGTCTGATGAACCACAACTGTGTGCCGAATACACGCCACAGCTATAATAAAGACTCGCAAATGGCAGTGAAAGCAGTAAAGCCAATACGCGCTGGGTGTGAAATATTTACAAGTTATACGGGAACATTGTGGGGAACGCCGGCTCGAAGAACCCATCTGTACAAGACAAAACATTTCTTTTGCGAATGCGACCGCTGCGCCGACCCTACCGAGCGTGGCACTCTACTGGCAGCCTTGAAGTGCTTTTCCGCGGAGTGCCCCGGCTCTCTTCTTCCGATCAACCCATTAAACGCGTCATCGCCTTGGCGGTGCATTGAATGTGATTTACGTGTGCCGATAAAAAACATTTGTACTATACAAAGTGCTCTAGGAAGTTTGATGGGTTCACTAGACTTCGAAAATGTGGATCAGTTAGAGAACTTTCTTGTCAATCGCGTAAATAAATACATTCCTAAGACGAACCAAATTGTTGTAGATCTTCAGTGTCGTCTGATTTGGGAGCTTGGGGAAGTCGACGGGCTTCGTTGGCATGGTAAGCAAATTAATTACTTACGTGACTAATTGATATCATGCTTCATTTAACACCTAGTTTATTACCATTATTAATTTGTTACTTTTATCTAATATTTAGATAACCTATTTTAATCAAACTAAGTAGGAATGCTAATAGTTGTGTAATGTGTTGTGTTGTTTAGTAAATTGTACACCAAATGCAGAAAGAATAGCAATCAAAGTCGTAAAATAAATGAATTCAATAAAGTCTTAAAACTAATTAATGGCCCAATATTGGTAGGTGTTTGCCTTACTATGAGTGATGTAAGAATATAAATTTTCACTATATGTTGCTTCTGTACAACTGCCAAAATTAATTAAGCAAATCGAGCGTTAATCGTGCGTGCGTGCCCAACCTAATAAATTGATTTTAAAAGTCATGGATTAGTACCTATCAACCTTTGGGAGTATTGTTCGAACATTCGTCTTTTAATGTCTTACGAGTTTATTTTCGTCTCTGGGATTGTATAAATATAGGTAATGCATTAGGTAATAACCGTTTCAAACGACTTCGTCCACTATTGTTGGGTTACTGAGAAAACAGTTTTAGAACTTGTGTAAAATATGTACGAGTATCATTGGAAAGATATTTTTGTAATCAATCTTGCAAAGAAATAGGTAGTTTTAAAATAAAATGCAAATATTTTACCAATAAAAACATGGCATTTAATATTCAGTGTAGATGTTTGTAAAAAATTTATAATAACAGGAGGTCAGGTAAACCCTGACCATTTCGTTTCACCAGCTGACCATGGTATGGTATACCTATGGTCTTATTACGCTTTTACTTGTAATTTGTTAACCACTTTTTTTCACACTGATTAGGTACTTACTTAGTAGCTACTAATTTTGAGCCGTTTTTCAGATAGGTTTTCGTGCTACTAGACTTTACGAGTACCTACATCCATTTCTAAATACTCGTATACTTAGTATAGTAATATTAATCTGAAATCATAAAAACCATAACACATTTTCATACGTTTGTTACACTACGCCAACATGTAACGCCTAAATTAATTTTAAATCATTTTGAAATAGAGATGGTGATTGTTGTTGGAAATGAAAGTATTTTGACACATTTTATTAATGAATTTCAATAATCTCTCCAGAAATCTTAATTGATATTTATTAGTAAGGAATGTTTCAGTCAAAATAGTTTAGATTTAAGACCTTGACAGACGTGCTTTATTGACTTTCTGACTGACTAATCCACTCGGTGGAAACGCATTACTTTCTTTGCCTGCAGCACACCCAGTCGCGAGCTAAATCATAAATGTTAATTGTACTTAGAAATTAAGCTAAAAGACAATTTGATGCACAAACACACACTTCATAACATATTCTACTCTAAAGTTCTTAAAAATGATGGAAAAAAAAATTCTCCTGGAAATCCATAACATCCCCGTTTGGGATAAAATAAAATACATACTTACATCCGTATCTAGTCTCTACTAAGCCCAGAGTTAGCAAATATCATTATGACTGACTATAAATCTGTACGGTGTAAGGAGACTGAAATAAAATAAGAACTGAAAAAGAGAGTACATACCTAAGTACTCATGAATGCTAATAAAATAAGTTCTCAATAAATTCTTATTCATCCGTTCTGAGATAAATTTTCTTTCAGTCAAAAGATTAGTGAAAACCAGAGACTGAAGAAAAACAAATACATTCTTACATCTGAAAACATTGAACAGATGTTCAGTAAAACTTGTACCTCTCGTAATATTGAAATGATCTCGTAAGACGTAGGTACGAGTATAATGCAAAACAATACCTTTAGGTAATCCGATGATAATCTTTCATGTTTAAAGCAGAAAATTACTGTAGTGAGTAGTAGATATATGTTATTACTTATTTCAGGCGTTGACAATCTCGCTAAAGGCATAAATTCTTTAAATCAATAAACTAAAATGACGCTCGATTTATTTAAAAAGGATAAACCGTTTTATTTTGACTTAATAGCTATTAATGCTTACTGCTAACTACTTACAAACATTTAATTTATTACTGTCACCTATTTCAGCGTGAACACGTAAACATTCAACAGAGCGAAGTAAACCAACATTAATGGTTCCAGATTATAACTCAAGGCTCAACGGGCAGTAAACTAAACATAAATCTTTGAACGGACGTGCATTACGTCACATTCGACACGTGAGCCGCCTTCATGAATTGGATGAGATTTAGTGTTCCAGGGGCTATTTTCATTTCGGGTCATGTACATCGATGGGCGGCGTCAGTCAGCCGCGCGGTGCTGCTGAAACCATGTCACTCCGCGCAGTAGCTCCCTCTCGGCAGCCGCAACATGGCCCACCCGCTCCCCACACAAAACCTCCAAGATAAACCCGCATCTTGCTGGCAAATCAAGAAGTCCAACATAAGTGGAAGAGGAATATTTGCCACCCAACCCATCCAGCGAGGCACCCTCATCTTCCGCAACAGACCACTCATGGTGGGACCCCGAGGAGACCACGCCCGAAAAAAATTCTGCTCCATTTGCTACGTCATAAAGGACACTTGCTACTCATGTGAAAAATGTGGAATCTTTGTCTGTTCTGCCACATGCGAAACCTCCCAGCAGCATACCAAAGAGTGTGACTTTGTCGTGCAAAATTGGAAAATAAAACCAGGATGTGAAAAACAACCAACCGATTTAACCAGAGCACTCGTATTTATAAGATCACTATTGTTGGACCACGAGGAAATACACTTGTTATCTTCATTCCAAAAAAATCAAGCAGTAGGACCCGTGGACGAGGTGGACGCATTGTGTGCTAATTACGACATACCGGAAGAACAAATAAAATTAATGAAATCAGTCGATTCAATTACAAAATTAAACGCGTTCAGAATAGCACATGGCGAGGTTGAATCCAAAGTACCACTTCGTGGTTTGTATTATTTATCAGGTTTACTGAATCACAGCTGTATACCTAACACAAGAAATGCATTTGACAAGAATAACAATATGGCTGTTTACGCAACAAGGGACATTGAAATCGGAGAGGAGATCTTGACGTGTTACACTGGTCTGCTGTGGTGTACGCCCGCGAGGCGCTGTCAGTTACAAAAAACTAAAAAATTCTGGTGCAAATGTGAAAGATGTTCCGATCCAACCGAAATGGGTACAAGGCTGTCGGCATTGAAGTGTTTGAATAAAGAATGTGTCGGAGTTTTACTGCCGACCAGCCCTTTGGACCCTGCATCTGATTGGCGGTGTGACAACTGCAGCGCCGCGGTCGCTGCGGCGCAAGTGAGCGTAGTGCAAAGTGTGCTCGGCAGCCTGGTGGGCACCCTGGACCTCGACGATCAGTTCCGACTGGAGACGCTGGTGCTGGAGAGATTGTCTCATTTCATACCCTACTCCAATCACATATTTGTGGACTTGAGACTGAGATTAGGATTGAAGCTCGGTTTCACTGAAAAGCTGAAATTACAGGGTACTTTTTCATACGTCTGTATCGTGCTACTTTTGCGCCGACTACCGAACTAACTTTGATTAATGAGCAGCGCTATTTTTAACTGCGAGTGGGATCTGTGTTTGTATGGTAATTAATTATAGCCTATCACTAACCTTAATAGAAAGTAACATATTTTATTATTATAATATCAGACAAAATATTGAGTAAAAACTTAACCTGATTTTAAAACAACAGCTAGTACGGAATCGCAGTTGATTTGATTTAGTATTTCTAGCAAAAACTAAATACTTAAATAATGTTAGGTACATTCAACAAATTACAATTTTATACAACACTAACCTGCTTTAAAATACTTCCCGTCAAGGAAAAATTTAAAGGTAGGTAGATATTTCATTTTTCTTATATATCGTAAATAGACATCCAATTTAAATAAATAAAGTATTTTTATTTATTTATGAATATTATGGTTATTAATAATTCATGTCAATATTTATAGCACGTAATTTGTCGACTACACGCTGCATCATTGAAGCGAAGAAGTAACATAAGTGTGTCTACTGGGTAACGAATGTCGCTTCCTTTCGCAAATTGCCTTCGACCGACTGACTGTACGAGTAATAGAGGAGAACCTGAGGTCGATTTGATCCTATAAATCTTACCTACAACTCACACACAGATAAAAATACGTCATCTGCATACAGTTGTAATATTATTTTAACAGATTTATTTATTTGCCTACCATTAATCTTTATAAGTATCTACTGAAAAACGCACTAAGTAGGTACCTACTCGTAGATAGTAGATTAACTGCAAAAATGATCTGCACGAGTTTTACTACAAGTGTAGAATTTTCCCATTTGCCCCATTTTCCATTTCAGTGAAAAAGAAGCCAATTTTCAAAAGCCAATACTTTCCAAATATTTTCAGTGAACTTTAAATGAAAGTGAAGTGAAATAAAATAAATTAACTTTGTTCTGAACTCCCAGCATTTTTGGGGTCATAATCTCACAGTCTGTTTTAAAGTAAGAGCAACCGTAAAGCTTTTAAAAGCCACGATTATGAGTAGCATCCGAAAAATATTCTTTAACCATAAACTTATTTTCGACGCCCAACATAAAATTAGAACGCTGACATCATATTATTTGCCTATTCGCTCTTTCAATATAAATGTATCTTCACAGTTCTCAATCATATTCAATGTTTACCTATTTATAATTTTCATGGGAGCACAAACATATTAATATTTTTCAAGACTCGTTTCACCTTGTCCCTGCCCTTTCAGATGTTTCTAAACGCGCGCTATTCGATGACAAATATTTAAAACTCGGCCTAATTTTTGTTAAGGTATATATGTATATAATTAATACACACTGTCAAAATTGCTATTAAAAGAAAACTTCACTGAAATCGCTTTTTACCTGTATCTTCAACAACCTGAAAATGTTCGCGGACCATAATATTTTGACTCTACAAATTATTAATAGTGGACGGTCCACACAACGTTAATGTAGTAACTTAAAACTTCTTATCCACCATTTGATTCTATCAGACAAACCCAACCGTGACAGCGTGGTATTGAGTTTCTGGGACAAGTTGCGGTCGTTAAAGTGTCAAGGTTGTTGTAATAATGATAAAATTTTGACGCTGCCTTAAATTGAGCAGAAATAAATTTAATTGATCGACCTTCACCCGTGTAAAATCGGCCTATATGTTTAGTTAATTTTCATGAATTTCAAAAAATTAGACCGTTAGGTCCGTAGGTACATTTAATTTTGTGCAATGAATAATTTGCTAATCATAAAGGTAATACGTTCTACTTATTTTTTGTGTTACGTCATGTTATTGTTTAGTCACGCTAATTAACTTTCTCGACAATAAATAAATCTTTTGTTTCCTAATCGCAGTAATTGTTTAACTAATATAATTACAAATGAAAGGAATTCACTTCTTGTATTTTAACATTTACAAAAACTACAGATATTCATTTATTATTTTAATCGTAAAATATAGCCTAATGTAGAGTTACTTAATGCAAAAACATATTATTATTAACAAGTTCGGAAGACATACCAACCTAGTAAAAAGTAAAAGTAGAAGCTGTTGATTTTATTTATTTCTGTTTAAACAGACCACTTACTTTATAAAGATTTGCTTAATAAGATTAAGTAGGTGCTAGCTACTTAATCGAAATGCGAAACACGTTTTATGTGCCGTAATGTACTACATGACAAGTAAGTTAACTTAGACCTTGCAGAACTTTTTTCACTTTTCAGCAAATTATTTATATTTTAGAAGTATCTAACTAAATCAATTCTTTGACTTGGTAGTGATAATGGATTTGCATTTGGTGCGCGTAACTCGCATTCGTATTCTGTTGCATACATCGCGCTACGGTTGTCGCGCATGTGGGCCACGAGTGCCACGACAGCAACTCAGCCAACGCGATAGCATCCGCCCACGATAATTCAAGTCTTACTTAGTAACATCTTAACTAGATTAACTCACTCAACTCAAGTAGTTCAATAAGCCGTGCTTTGGCCGTACTTAGCGTAGGTTACTCGTGAGATTATCTGGACCCTAAAACTTAACATTCCTCAACATTACAATAAGTATAAAATAGTCAATCGCGAAGAAAATAATCTTTAAAATGCAACAAAGAATGACAACAATAACTTAATTAGTGCCTAGTACTAAATGTGCTATCATCCTATTACCTTATTAATATTACATAGGTTAGGTATTAACATAAACCTTATATTAAGCTAAAAATAAGATTAAATCACATCTTAGCCGCTAATGAAATGAACACAAATAAACTGCAAATGTGATCTGTGGATATTCTACGCCTTTACAGCTGCGTCATTTCATAAAGTGCATATGCATAAAACAATAAAACTGAACTAGTGAATTATGCAGTTAGATGCATCGTGAGTTCAGAATAGCGTGTCCCGGTATGCGACGAGTACTACGCAACAAGTGAATAAAATCGGGGACGATTATCGCGAGGGGCAGTCGTTCAATTGACCGCCGATTGACATGGGCGCTGCCGCGAGGAACGCGCGACCACACGTCGTCACCAGGTGGATCTGCTTACCGGAGCCCTACCAGTCAGTACCGTCTCAGTACCTAGTGACGATTGAAAATAAATTATCCCCGGCCACACCGGGGCGCCTCGCGATCGATGAAGCGTTAATTAATGCAACGTTTGGCGTGTGTCATCATCTATAGTGAACTTGTGACGAATGCGGTGAAGTTATGACGTGATTGTAAACATGAGTGCCCTCGAAATCGACAGTCAGCATACAACGCCCAGCTGATTTGGCTTGTTGCCGTGGTAGATCCATCGCCGAAGGTCCACGATTAGTGTTTTGCCAAGTATTTCTATTTCCATTGAGCCAAAAGTTGATGAAGCGAAAACCGATCGATTGTTCATTAGATACGGCTGAACGTATGGAAATTATAATATTAATTAATCTAGCTACAAATCAATTAACCGAGAAGATAAACTTTATCTCTACATACTCGTATTGAATAGGTTACGTTGTGAATGTAAACAAATATTTTTACGACGAAAGTTTATAAAACGCCATGTCATGGAAAAATCTTTCAAATTACCTGAAATATAACGAAAGTGCTGAAAATTATAAAAACTATAAATTATTTCTAAATATTTTTCATAATTTTATGAGTACATTAAATATTTCTGTAAAAGACGCTTGATAGGATTCCTGAAAACTCTAAAAGCAGGTTATTTAGATACTGGACTTAAAATAAAATAACAGTACCAGGTTTAGGTACCTACTGTAATTTTGCTTAGATTTATTAATTCATTCTGCTCCTGAACAGCATTTTCAGCTGACTTCAGCCGCCTGAGCCATATCACAATTCTTTATGGCGATTGTAAACAGTTGTTAGCACTCCGAATATTTTGCAGCGCTTTTGTACCTTGTACTTAATGTACAGCAGTGTCACGCTAATCACTGTGGCGTCTTCTGTTATTGTAATAAGGGTGACTTTGTTTTTAACTTGATGTGCTGTAACCTGTACCTTTTTATCATTACGTTGCAGAGCTAACGGAGTCCCGGTTGGCCCTGAAAGAGAGCCTATGCCGCGGCACGCTGCGCACGGCGGCGGCGCTGGGCGTGGGCGACGCGCACCTGCGCGGCCTGCTGCTCTACCACCTGCACGCCGCGCTAGCCGAGCGCGCCCGGCGCTCGCCCGAGCTGTATGAGGTACCAGACCTTCTTATACTACCCTAAAAGGACAAATAACACACTCATACGTCATGCCTGATCGACCAACGCGCGGCCTGCTGCTCTACCACCTGCACGCCGCGCTAGCCGAGCGCGCCCGGAGCTCGCCCGAGCTGTATGAGGTACCAGACCTTCATAAACTACCCTAAAAGAACACATAACACACTCATACTGCATGCCTGATCGACCAACGCGCGGCCTGCTGCTCTACCACCTGCATGCCGCGCTAGCCGAGCACGCCCGGCACTCGCCCGAGCTGTATGAGGTACCAGACCTTCTTATACTACCCTAAAAGAACACATAACACACTCATACGTCATGCCTGATCGACCAACGCGCGGCCTGCTGCTCTACCACCTGCACGCCGCGCTAGCCGAGCGCGCCCGGCGCTCGCCCGAGCTGTATGAGGTACCAGACCTTCTTATACTATCCTAAAAGAACACATAACACACTCATACGTCATGCCTGATCGACCAACGCGCGGCCTGCTGCTCTACCACCTGCACGCCGCGCTAGCCGAGCGCGCCCGGCGCTCGCCCGAGCTGTATGAGGTACCAGACCTTCTTATACTACCCTAAAAGAACACATAACACACTCATACGTCATGCCTGATCGACCAACGCGCGGCCTGCTGCTCCACCACCTGCACGCCGCGCTAGCCGAGCGCGCCCGGCGCTCGCCCGAGCTGTATGAGGTACCAGACCTTCATAAACTACCCTAAAAGAACACATAACACACTCATACGTCATGCCTGATCGACCAACGCGCGGCCTGCTGCTCTACCACCTGCACGCCGCGCTAGCCGAGCGCGCCCGGCGCTCGCCCGAGCTGTATGAGGTACCAGACCTTCTTAGGGGAGAGTTCGGTATATTGTACCGCCGGGTAAATTGTACCACCCCCATATTTCGTAAAGTATTTATTGAATGTCTGTAATTTCAACACTCAGCTATACACAACTAAAATCAATGAATATCGGCCATGTGGTTTTTTCCGTGACAACAAACACGTGAGTTTATTTTGAAAAGTATTTTTTCATTGTTTTCAAGTAACTTTTGACAATACATGTTTAGTTTGTAATTTTGTTAAATTTAATCACAGGGTGTTTCTAATATATTATTTAGAAGCGTAAATTAGTGTGGATTACAATTATTTGAAACATTTTTCGGTATTTATGAGCTATATTTTTTACCGATTTTTTAAAAGCACTATCACCTAGTCGGCTAAATTGTACCACATCAAGTTGTATGGAACTTTACCAAAGGATTTTGATTTTTTTTTGAGTAAATCATATTTTGAAGTTATAATAGCGTAGTTATGTTAGACTAACAATAAATGAAAGCAAAAGACTGGCAAAGTAGATTAGATAACACACTCATACGTCATGCCTGATCGACCAACGCGCGGCCTGCTGCTCTACCACCTGCACGCCGCGCTAGCCGAGCGCGCCCGGAGCTCGCCCGAGCTGTATGAGGTACCAGACCTTCATAAACTACCCTAAAAGAACACATAACACACTCATACTGCATGCCTGATCGACCAACGCGCGGCCTGCTGCTCTACCACCTGCATGCCGCGCTAGCCGAGCACGCCCGGCACTCGCCCGAGCTGTATGAGGTACCAGACCTCCTTATACTACCCTAAAAGAACACATAACACACTCATACGTCATGCCTGATTGACCAACGCGCGGCCTGCTGCTCTACCACCTGAACGCCGCGCTAGCCGAGCGCGCCCGGCGCTCGCCCGAGCTGTATGAGGTACCAGACCTTCTTATACTACCCTAAAAGAACACATAACACACTCATACGTCATGCCTGATCGACCAACGCGCGGCCTTCTGCTCTACCACCTACTAGGTGGACCGACGATCTAGTAAAGGTCGCGGGAGGAGCCTGGAAGCAGGCAGCGCAGGACCGTTCATTGTGGAAAACCTTGGGGGAGGCCTTTGTCCAGCATTGGATTGGACGTCATTTGGCTGAAACGAACGAACGTCTTTATTAACTCGTAAAAAAGAAAAAAGTAAGGGGATTCCCAGAAAGTCAATATTTAAAAAGTTTGGGTCCCATTTTTTTTTGCACCAGTGCTGCAGTGCCTTTACTACCCAGCTACGGCTCAGGCTCTACCACCTGCACGCTATGTTAACCATACTTAGGCTGTACTAGAGTATTAAAACTAAATACTAAGATGTGTTTTATGCTATTTTCAGGAACTGAAAGCTGAAATCGAGAGTACTATAGAGCAAGCCTTCCATATACTCCAAGGCGACATATCTGCCCCACCAGACCTCGAACTGAGACACCGATACCTCGGCCCAGGCTGTGACAAACCTCACGAAGAGAGATTCTTCATCCTCGCTGACGTTTGATACATGTTTACCCGCAATTTTATATGATTCTTTAAATTATTTTAATAANTTTTAAATTATTGTAATAAAATATGTATTTACTACTACTTACGTAAGCAACGGACTCTATGTATATTTACCAGATTCAGAAATAATCATATTATTTTATTGAAAGTGTAAATTTATTTTACTGTTGAATAATAATAAAATTTGACAAGTGTGCCAAAAGCATGTATTATTAATTATTATGTAAGTAATACATATTTTAAATAGTTGCAGATCTAGTATAACTTAAGTGTAAGTACGTGCGCCTGATTTATTTTTTCTGTGGCCTAACCCTACTACTCGCCCATGACTATTAACATAGTCGGAACTGCAAAATTGCCATTTTTATTTTATTGCATAATTTGTGCGTAAATAGTCAAAGCTATCATCAGGTGAAAGAAAATTTATGATTTTATGCATAGTTTTTGAAATAACTACATTAAAAATGTCGGATATTGCCTAGATAGTCCGTTAACAATGCCGGATAGTTGTTTCCGACGTATTTAACGGTGCGCGGAGGAGGGAGAGCTCGTGCGATCTCCCACTTCTGGCTATGTTAGCGGGATAAACGGAGGACGTCGTGTTGTCATTGGTTTTTACGGCAGTTATATTAAATATAAATAATTTTGAATGTAATACCAACTTGCATTAACATTTCCTAACAAGTAACTTAACATTGTAGGATGTACCATATCAAACATTGTTAATCTTATTTTTGTAACACTTTATGTCAGTAGTACCACATACGACGTTGTTAAGCTTTTCTTTGAATGGGATAAATGTCTGAAGTACCATATTCGACGTTATTGAATGTTTCTTAAATAATTTAAATATCGGTAGCTCCACATCCGACATTATTATAACGTTCTACAAATGGGTTAAAATTTCGGTAGTACCTGTTAGCCATTGTCAGTTGTTTTGTAAAATACAAAAATGTCGCTAATATCTTGTATGACGATGATTGACTGACTGTAAAATAAAATAAGCATGTTTGGTATGAATGATTTTTGTTCGCACGCATGAATTTGCAAATGTCTTTTTATGCCTTCTTTTATTTGTAAACTGTACTTTTTTAATTCGGGCGTTACATTATTTATTAATTTATTTGATCACCAAAGGTTACATTGAGGTTTCACAAAAGTTACTATAAAAAAATATTGTTTAAATTACTTATAGCTTTTTATAGTTGTTTTTAGTTCGTCAAGAGTCTCCTACACCGGCGAGTTTTCAAGATGAATTGATTCAAATGCAGGAATTACTTGGTGATGTATTCAATGACGATGACGAGATATTATCAGCAAAGGAAGCTAATGCTACTAGCGCCGGTAAAGCATCGGTACCGTCACCACTTCCACCACCAAAGAAACTTTTATGCTCTAAGTCACATATCAACCTCGACGTGGGGTCTATCATTTGAAATGCTCCGAATAATATACGCGGCTACGTATCTAAGCTCCATTTGCTATGGTGCACCAGTTTGGGCTGACAGAGCTACTATAGGAGCCGCTCGACGGGAACTGCTCCAAAGTCAACGCCTTGCAATGATTTTTGTTTGCAAAGCTTACAGAACAGTCTAAAATAAGACGATTATTTGATTCCCGACAAGTCGTTGAAGAGAAATTAGTCACTGAATGGCAAAAAAGATGGGATACGTCAGTTAAAGGGCGTCAATTGTATAAATTCTTCCCTAATGTACGCGAACGTATATCTAGGCGATGACTAGATATCGACCATTGCTTGTCGCAGTTCCTTACGGGGCAGGGCAACTTTATACTTAAGTTTCACGAATTCAAACTAGTTCTGTCTCCTTTTTGTGAGTGTTCTTCTGATGAAGTCAGTCATGAGCAGTCTGCCCATCATATCTTGTGGGAGTTTGATCTTTGGAAACATTATACGTGACATAATGCTTAACTCAATAGCTCCGAAGCCCAGAGGTAGAGCATCACTAGGGCTATCCAAATCACCCCCATGTTATGTTCCGCGATTTTTGATAGTCTTCGAGTTATGATTGTTTTAAATTTCTGTGCTTAGGCACTGTTTTGGTCACTGTGGCGCAAATAGTCAAGTTACATGCCTGTTTATTTTTATTATTATTAGATGAATACTAGGTCTAGCTAATTTAGAAGTATTTACTTCCATAACACGAATGAAAACTGAAATCCTGTATGTTGTAAAAAAAACATAACTCGAAAACTATCAAAAGTCACGGTGATTTGGGTAGCCCTAGTGATGCTCTACCCCTGGACTTCGGCTTGACACTACTTTTTGGGACAATCTGTATACAATTTCTATAGATATTTTGTGTCTTTTTTACATACGACATACGTGTAATCATAAATAAATAATTAAACAAGGACGTAAGTGGCATTTCCGACAAGTAATCACCAATTTCGTTCAACCAACAATGTCGGTTCTGGTAGATATGACAAATCAGCATTAGTATAACTCCGTTAAAAAGGTCACAAGTGACTTTTCTCATATTTACACATTAAATACCGGGTACTCATGATATTGTCCTAAACATAAATAACTTTCATAGTAATACTCTAAACTTTCATAACCCTGCTTAAAATAAGTACAAAAATATGAGCAATTTAAACTTTGAAACGCTCTCCTGTAAAGTTGCTGTTTTTCACATACGACATTGTTAATAGTCATGGGCGAAATGCTGTTGAAACATTTTGCTAAAAAATAAAATAACTGTTTATCCATGTTTTTATCACTGTCACACCCTGTATATTTTCGTAAAAACAGCTAATTCTCACACGAAGAAACTACAAAGTAGAGGAGACGTCCGCTAACTCCCTGGCACCTGAATGACCACCAAATTACCGGATTCTTTTGTCTCACCAACCAGCGATTAGATGGTTTTACTCTGACGAGTTTTTGCAGGGAATTTGTAAGAATGCTTTATTATAAGATTTATAATAATAGTTTATTTATCGATTGAAAATAATTATAATTTTGTGTTATAGAATGCTACAGTTTGTCATCAGGGCGTTATCTGTTGATTTTAATTATTTTTCTGTGTACGTAGGTAAAAGTTTTCTTTTTGAGACAGTAATTAGGAATTTCTCATAGCGCAGGCCTAATTATAATTACGATATAATATATCTATGTCGTCGTCAAAAAATAATACGTAGAAAATACGAGACCTCTAACTAAATCAATAAAAAAATTCTTGGTAACCGAAATTACGACTAAACGTCACACGTGCTAGTTAATCTAACACCCGTATTCACAAACGATACTTACCTATGCAAAGCAGCAACACTATGCGAAATGAGACATTTCTCAATGCGTTCCATATGACAAGCCTTTCAATTCATAAACAATACTTAAACGACCCTAAACTATGCAAAATCAGAGTGTTGAATAGAGTTCTGTGATTGGTTCGCTTATGTTACGCACTTCACTCCGCTAACTGACATGACATTCCTGTCATTCAAACGGTGCAACGGTTTTTATGTATCGTATTTTGTGGATTTGTGAATTAAATAAATATGGATAAAACTACAACTATCAGGTTAGTATCAATGTAGCTATGAATACTTCGATTAATAATAATAGTGAAAATCATGTTTCAATCATTATTTTTCAGATAAAAAAGCTGCCGTTTTCTTCTTCCGAAAGAGAGCTGCTGATTATAGTTTAATAAGAGAAAGGCCTATTATTGAAGACAAGCATATTATTATTATCCTCTCTAAAATATCGAGTTGACGAAGCAGGCCTGGGAAACTCTAACAGTGGCTTACAATTCTGAACCATATTTTATGTTTCACGAAGGCTCGCACATCAACTGAAAAGCTTCTGGAATAATTTAAAGACCCAAAGAATGAAAGAACTTTCTCAGGAATCAATCAAACGTTCTCAACACCCACTAGTAAGTAATGTTTTTAAAATATATAGTACGTAGATTTATGAGGAATAACTAAGCAGAATATACTCAAAGGAATTAAATTCATAATTTGCTTTTCAGGTATCAAGAAATTAAGATTAGTAGTAGCAAGAATGAAGATTAACACCCGTATTCACAAACATTACTTTGAGGCCTCATAGTGCGCGTGGATGCACAGGGTCCCAAAAACCTATTCATAGACGATACTTCAGTGGTGACAAGCACTATGCGTCCCTTAGAATGAACGCAAAGCTAAGGTAGCCAGGGAGCTGTATTACGCAACGCATAGTGTCTATTTACGTCAAAATTTTTAGGTTATTCTCGTTTTTGAGGTTTGTTTGCTTTATTTATGGTTGTATTCGATTAATATTATCTTATATGGATTACAGTAGTGAAGAAGAATTTGATAATTATATCAATGAGCAAAGTAGAATAAGTACCAGAAAAGTGATACGGGATTCCCAAAATCCCTTTGATTATTACAATTCAGACGAATTTAGTTTAGGTTTTCCAATGATGGGGTACTTTTCATACGTTTACCACTGATAAAAGAAGACCTGAGGAAATTAGGCCTTCCAGTGCCACCTACATAATGTATCAGTTGCTAGTGGCAAATAAAACATAAAATTTTTAATGAAGTTTTATTTTCATCAATCTTCAATGTCTAATTTAATTTTATGTATTTGTAAATCATGAATCTTTTTTTCATGTTCTAACAAATTATTTTCTCTTGCCATCAATATTTTTTCTCTTTGTAGCCCCAACTCGTGCAAAGCCTGGTCTTGTTGTATATTATTCAATGTGGTGCGTTTGATTCTTGTTTCTGTCTTAATCTTCATTCTTGCTACTACTAATCTTAATTTCTTGATACCTGAAAAGCAAATTATGAATTTAATTCCTTTGAGTATATTCTGCTTAGTTATTCCTCATAAATCTACGTAGTATATATTTTAAAAACATTACTTACTAGAAAAAAAAAAATCAATCAAACGTTCTCAACACCCACTAGGGGTGTTGAGAACGTTTGATTGATTTTTTTTTTTTTTTTTTTTTTTTCCTGAGAAAGTTCTTTCATTCTTTTGGTATTTAAATTATTCCAGCAGCTTTTCAGTTGATGTGTGAGCCTTTGTGAAACATAAAATATGGTTCAGAATTGTACCCCACTGTTAAAGTTTCCCAGGCCTGCTTCGTCAACTCGATATTTTAGAGAGGATAATAATATGCTTGTCTTCAATAATAGGCCTTTCTCTTATTAAGCTACAATCAGCAGCTCTCTTTCGGAAGAAGAAAACGGCAGCTTTTTTATCTGAAAAATA